CCCACGCGTCCGTTTTGCGGCGCAGCGCCGCAGCTGACCTCGGTCGCCTCGGACGGGGGGCCACTGGGTCACAAGGATTTATCGTATGTATCAGAGCAGGTTGCTAACGACCGTCGTAGTCGTCGTCGGCGTTTTTCACCCGAAGCGTCGAAAAGTAGAAAACGAAAACGCGTTATATTTTAATAAATATTAAACTATAAACATATACTATACGCATAATATACGCATAGGTATATAATATAATAATTGCATTATGTACATAATATTAATATATGCATGAGCAATTTGAGTACGAGGTGTAGGACTTGTGTTCACGCTGCCGCCGCCGCCGCCACCACCGCGGGTGTTTTCGGCCCGGTTTTAGCGCGTTGTTAATAAAGCCTGTATATATATAATATGCGTATTGCAGGTACTTAACCGAGCGCTTTTCTTTCGGCGAACACGTTTCGTATAGTTAAGTCCCGATCCATTATTCAATCGGCGTCTAGTAATGTTCGTCGAATGGCGTATATCTGTTTACGAATTCGTTTCGAAATCGATTGAATTAAAAAAGCAAATTATAATATTATACGTGTGTGTGTGTGTGTGTTTATATAATATTAACAGCGACACGACTGAGATTTATTTTTGGACGACCTACGATTTCTCGGTCGTCCAGAAGAATAAACGGCGACGAATTTAGAAAATAGACAACATAATACAAATTGTATGCTAGAAACTAATAAATACAAATTGTGAAAATCGTGTGTTGTGATGCTGTGTTTCAACGTAGGTACTTCATTATTTGTAACGAATTATTAAAAACCGAACTGTTTACTTAAGAGTGGTTATTCATTCTTATCGCCATAAGAAATGGATGTGTTCATCTAGTGAACATTTTCTCCGCTCAAAATACTTTCTCGCGAGGTAAACGAGACTTGAGTTTTTTTTAAGAATCTCCCGGAATATAATAATATCAAATATGAACGGGGTGTATCATCCGTATATTATAATGATTTGTGATCCAGCCGGCAGCAGCTTGCGCCGCAGTGGATAGACGACTTTGGGAACCCCGTGGCGCGTGGTGGCCGCGAAGCAAGAGGATCGGTGGCCAGCGAAATGTTAAGTTAGATCAAACAAACAGAACGAAAAATATTCATAAACGTCAACAAAAATCGGATTGACTCGCGGTTGCCGACTTTGAGCAAGTGTCACAAGCTATCCGCCACCTCGGTTACAAAAACCTATTGGGGCATCCATACAGGGGCATCCATTTAACGTTAGACACTGATTTTATCGTTCTAATAAATACTTTTATAATATAATTTTTAGTTCTTAAAAACAACATGAATACAAAAAAATGACTCCACTAAAATTAAACTTAAAATCTTAAGTTTTCATGTAGGGTACTCTTAAAATGTTAAATCACCTCATCTAAGCTCAAAATGTAAGTTATAATTCATAGACTATATAGGTACTTGTCCAAAATGTGATTTTTATAAATCGGAATAGGGACTCCAAATAATATTCTGCTGCGGAATATTAAATGAAAAAATCAAAAGAGTAAAAAACTTGAAAAAATGAAAAAGGTATAATAGTAAAAAAAATATAATTTTTCTCCCAAAATGTCGTTCGGTAAGGACTTACAATTAATGTTAAAGAAGTATTTTTAAAAACGTTTGCGTTTTCTGAAATAATGAGTGTCTTACATAAAACGGATCACCTCGTGCGGCCGTATCTATCTATTCAGAAAAACCGATGGGCGTTATGTAATCGACCGACGGATCTCATTAGAACCTCGCGGCGAATACGGAACACGTGGTTTTGCACCGGATGGGAACAAAAGACTTTTTAACGGATCATAATGACCGCCGCCACCGCACCAAAGAATGGAGTAAAATATAATAATATATTGTGTGCGTCGGGACCCCGCCGCCGAAGTTATTTATTGTAAGTCGTCGCGTAAGTTACCCGAACTACGTGCGAGCGCTCGAGTACGGGCATCATCAACAACTGGTTTCGCGTGAGCTCGCGATAATAATTGAAAAAAAATATAATTCGATCGTGCGATATTTTTTACGACTAGTATATATGCTGTGCGATATTGTATGTCGATTTCTGCAGCGGTACATCGTATTATTATTATTATCATTACACTCGCTTTCACTATAAACGCATATACCCAGGCAGGTAATAATAATACTACGTACGACGCAGTAGGTAGGTACAACCGTCGTTGCGTGGGTCGATGTTTTATACTATTATTGTTATTATTTAAACGACTGCAGTCGCTGCAATACTGCAATTATTTAGCGAGTTGGGATTTCGTCAACGGTACATCGTAAACGTTTCGCGGGGGAATAAAAGCGGAGCCTGTTTTGCATTGTTGGTACGGCCTGGGACCTATTATTCTATATCAGGCTCATCGGGGGTCTTTACTGTAGCATAGTCGGGCGTTTTAAGCTTTATTATAGGTCCATAGTCTTCGCATTGGCATATGCCCGCGAAGTATGGTCTCGGTGCTTTTGAACGAAGTCTGTCTATATTTTTGTTACGGCCTATAATATTATAATGACTGTCGTGTTTCATTCGGCGTGTGGTTATCGACGATCACGGCAGCAGGTCCTGTCGAAAACACCATAAGTCCTCTTCGGCGTCCCTTATTCGATCGGTCGGTCTTAGATCGTGGGAAAATTATTAAACCATCGGCGTATATTATATTATTATTGCAGTTGTTTTTTTTTTTAAACATTATGTAGGACGCGGCTGCGATTGCGATCTCTGTCGTCGTCGTCGTCGTCGTCGTCGTCGTCGTCGGATCCGGGATGAGCGCGCGCGCGGAAAAGTAGGACGTGCCGCGCGGGCGGGTCGGCGGCGCTCGCGTAGGTATTATTATCGTGTGTACGCACGCCGCCACGACGAATCGTCCGACTGTCCGAGGAGAGCGATAAGGCGGCCGGCGTGTGCGTACACGCACAAAACGTCCACTCGTCGTCGCCGTCAACGTTCAAGTGACGTGCGGCCCGGCGGCAATCGCCTCGTCGTGACCGACCGCTGTCTGTTCGCCAGCACAGGTACATAATACTGTTATTACGTTATTATTACACGAAATACACTATATTATAGCAATATATATATATTGTATTATATTATCCTGCCCGACTCCGCCTGCAATCAATCTATATTCATCGTTTTCCGTTTACCCGTTGTATAATGCATATTATATAGGTAGGTTAGGTGCCCGTGAAAACCCCCTCCGAAATAGGTTCATCCGTTTCGGAGCCTTACCTGGTTAGGCAGACAGACGGCCTATCTGTGCGTATTTAGTGCGATATTGAATGTAACCGTGTACGTTTAAAACAATCACAGCGTGTACAATTTGAATGGTTATGTCTGCTTTGTGTAACAAAAGATAAGTAATAAAAATACGACGGTAAATATTGTGGCAAAAGAGTCGATTTCCCGAGAGGGCGAGGTAAACAATGTTTTTTGTCATGTCATTATGTAGCAGAATGTAAGTACACATTAATAAGCGTGCTTACCCTGCATAATGAGAACAAGCGACACCACAATATAATTTACACAGCAATGTTCTTCCAAATAAATGGGCCGCTACCAAAATTTATATTAAGTTTCCATAACCAAAATCAAATGTGTAACAAATCATCAGAACTGTTTTATTTTCTGTAATCGATGACAACCCCATATAATAAACAAAAACATTGATTTTTGTTTGCCAAAGCAAAATTTATGTGTAAGCACATTTTGCGGATAAATAAATCAATTAAACGCGAATCTTAAAAAAATAATTCTTAGTGCACCTCTACATTGAGGTACGAAGGTACCTGACAATTTTGAGTTTATGCAGCTATAACAGTCTTGGCTATACATTCATTAGTCAGTCCAAGACATCTTGTTATACATAATAATATATACGGATTAAATTATCTCACCATCACGGCGTGACGTACGGCTGACGAGAAAACGCGAATGTCGCTCCTAGCGATTCTGATTACCGTGATGTTGGAGGGGGGAATGTAAATACTGGAGAACAAATTTTGGGATCGCAACTTAAAATAGGGGGGTGGTGAACGCGGAAAGATCGAAAATCTTCCATGGGAAAGTGCTATAATAGTAAGCTGTAATATTTTCGAATATATAATATAAATAATATCGGCGGCGTTGTGAACAGATTGACGCAAACTGCATATCGTATACGGTTTACGTACTTACTGAATATTATTAAATACTGTCAGAGAGACTGTTCTGGGACTGCTATAGGTGATTTAATAAACCGATGCACGACGATTTTTTTGTTTTTTCGTATAATATATTATATTGCAGTGTCCTCGCGTCAGACGAGAAAAAATATTCAAAATATGCGCAACTCTTAGCTGCAAACTCTCCGTATAAGGATGCGCCGCGGGAAAGAAGACGGTGCTCGCACGACGCTATAGGAACAAGGACGAAGATCGAGGAGAAGACGCGTAGAGGATGAAAAAAAACTCGCCGACCGAGAATCGTTTTCGGGATGACGTTTTGCCGCCCAAGTGAAAGCTGTAATGCTGCACGAGAACAGGTCGGACACGATTCGCGTGCCCGCCGGCCAAACGAAGACTACACGGCGACGACTTTGTTTATATATAATATGTATAGGTACATTTAATGTGCATTATTGTTAAAACGGTATTCTCGCGACTTTCTACACGCGACGCGCGTTATCGTTTCCTTCGACTTTGGGCTACGTGACGGCCGATCACTGAATGCTTCAACTCGCAGTATTTAATAATATAATACTTATCGTCGAGCTAAAAAAACGAATTTCTACACACTTTCTAAATTACATGTCTGGCGACGTCAGTGTACCACTGTTACACGCAGCGTGTACCACCAGGGATGGCGTAAGACGGGTTTAGCAATAATAATCGTGTTTAAAAACTTTAAAAATCAAAATCGAATGAACCCTTTCCCGTGCAAAGGTGTACTTGACTATTCGTTATAGTTCTGAATAGTGGACTTACCGGTGGTGAACAGAACGATGGCTTTCAGACAACTGTACTCTGCGGCGTCTACGTGGAGGGCTTTGAGTTTCTCCACCTGCTCCTGGAATATGCGTATGTGGTCCATGAAAGCGACCACACGATCCGCGGCCATCGGAGACGCATGCAGCCCAGCTGCGGCCAACAGCGGGGCAACGTGCAGTGGCATCGAACACTGGGACGCGTTCAGTACAAACAGTTCGCTCCAAACGAGCCTCAGCAAGGCCACTTGGTCAGTCACCTTCGAGCACAAACAATATCGTTTAAGTTATATGTACACAAAATCTACAAGCTAGAGTGTTTCAAGTACATAGCTATACTATATTATATAGGTAATATATCATAGGAGACAATATTACTGCTGTTCGAGCCATCCTCACATTATTTCTCCTAAACGTGCACTCGCACAGGACCCTTTAAATGGTTTTAAGAATATACTTTATAGTTAAATGTGCAGCACTGCAGAACTATTTAAATTTGAATACGTCCTGAGTATAATATGTAAAACAATCTAAATAAAAAAATTAATTTGAATAGTAGCGATCACTCACCTGCAGGTCTGGGAAGAAGGGTATGTTCCGTGCCCACTCGACAGCGCTAAAAAGCAGCCTGGCGGCCAGCTCACATATGTTGTCTATGCCCATGATGTTGTTGGGTTGCATACACTGTCCGTACCTAGACGTCGGGTACGGTTCGGCGCGCAACAGCAGCGATATATAGGAGGACAGGTACGAGTGGCCGTTGAGTCCGACGGCTCCAGCGGCGGCTGCCGCGGCTGCGGCTGCCTCGCCGTTGGCTAGGCACAACTGACCGGGAAGTCCGGTGAGCCCGGGAGGCTGGCTGGCCGGAACTCGACCTCTCTGCACGGCTGTGGAAAAACAGACATACAAACATTATAGCTTCAATACCACTTACTATTATTACTTATTATTATTATTTATTTTTATTGTATTATTATCATCGTATACAACCGGCGTGGTCTTAGGTATTATGTATTATTATATTCATAGGTACTCGGTGACGCGAAAGCAATTCACTTTTTCCCATAAAACGAAAGTTATACCACTTATACCGATAAACATAGTTTTATTCAATTATACAGAGCTATTCAATACGAATCATCCTATTATGATTTATTTGCGTCTGGCATCTTGATCTTACGGAATTTAACTAGGTACTACTATTAGGATTCGGTTATATGTTAAAGATACTGTGAAGGTACCGTTGGTTTAAAAAAAATATTCTATATTCAACGTGTGTACGGCTGCACGTACTACTATTATCGCGAAAAAGCTAAAAAATGATTGGTTAATATACAATGGATTTATGGATGTACATATTATAGTGAATTTATTAGTTCCAACTTGGAACTAGATGTTGTTTGTGTGGGGCTACAGGGAAGCCAACATTTATTTAGGTACCATTAAATGCATTTAAAATATTATTCTTTTATTTAATGTATCATATATTACTCTAAGTCTAAAAACTAAACATTTATGTACGTAAGTGTTTGATATCGAATAATTCGTGTTGAATAACTCTGTTTAATTACACATAGTTCATATGCAGCAGCATACCGCTGGACGATCAAGTTGTGTAGTGTTATTAGTACCTATGCCATGTCGTCATGAAATAGGATTTTATTCTCCCGGTGTTTTAAATATATGTAATTGATAATGATATGTAATGATTTCGAATAAAACCATAACTAATTATAATGTCACCGCGCTTCATATTCATTTACCAACATTCAATCAATAATTCATAGTATAGCGAGTAATAACTACAATAACGAGCGATTCCTCATAATAATATTATTTTATTTTTGCACACACGTAAACAACATAATATTTTTAACTCGAAGAATTAACGCGTTATTCGTGAACATAATATATACAATATACACATGAGTAGTTGCATTGTTTTCATAAATTGTTGCGTCTTGGGACAAAAGGCCACATATAGTTATCGATAAAAATTGTTTGCAACAGCTCACGTAATTTGGTATTTCAATATGATGTATCGACATAATTATTTGTTTTTTCATCGGCCATCAATTTACTACCGAGTAAATGATAATACGCTTGGTATATATTATTATTTATTATTGAAATTTTTTAACTTTATAGTATGAACTATGAATAATAATGCGCCAGAGTGCTAGACACTAAATAACTGCAGCACACTTCATCGGATAAAAATAATTATTATAATTTTATAAAATATTAAAATGCCACTGCAGGAGTTGATTGCACGTATAAATCTTGTGAAGTGTCTACTCGATAATGATTTTGGTATAGTAATAGAGATTTTTGCAAGTTATTATTGAACGTTTACGAGTGGTTCGTGTCATACGATATAGTTTCTATAATTGAGATTTTCGAAAATAATCTCGCCAAACGGTAAAACGAAAAACACATCAGAAACTTGCCGCCATCGGGATCACAGGTAGAAAATAATACACGCGATGTATTGTAATAACATAAATACAACGACCCACCCTTGTCGATACACACATATATGCACAGAATAATGCGCAGCTGTTGCGGATGGCGTCCGGTTTTCGTGACGATTCCCATAAATTATCATTTATCGCATTATAACATGCACGGCGCAAAACCGATCGAACGAGTTCGAACCCTTGACCGACGTCGTCCGAGTCGTCCCGTGTGAAGATGTCCCGTATGGGAATTTAATATATTTGTAATAATAATATACAACGGCGAACCGATATTCGCTCCGATCGCCGAACCCGTTTAGATCCAGTTATCGATCCCACGGAACAAGCCCACCCGTTACATATAATATGCTGCACTGCACGCGGCGGGGTGGTGACCTCACGCGACCCTGCCAAATATATCGGCCGCGGCAGTGGTGGTGGCGGTTTTTTACTTGTTTGATTTTTTACAAAACGTGTTTTCTTTGTACGCGAGCTCGCACTCATAATATTATACCCGTGTTAAATGCACCACCGATCTGTCCGATAAAGTTTCGTCAAAGTCCGTTGGAAGACGACGATAGTGTAAAAATATAAATTAATCATCTCAGTCACCCCCCCCCCCCCAACCACTTCTCCTCGCCGAATTCTCAGGACATCTGTCGTAGACGACCGACCCTTGTGGGGCTCATGATAATAAATTTTATACACGCCGTCTCGGGACTGGCGCATCGAAAAAACCGTCGTCGAGAGCGTCATTGCAGCCCCTCCGGCGGCGGCGGCGGCGACGACGGCTTGGAACGTCGTTTGTCCTCCGAGATTTTTTCGAAATCTCCCCACACAGTGTATAAATTAACGTGTCAAACGTAGTATCAGCGGATATATAGTTATTATTTTTAACGTCTGAGCTCCCGCGGGACCGATAGTCCCGGAAGGATCGAAAGTCGAAAAAATGTATATACACATATAATAATATAATATATTATACATTTATACTACATAGCTCTTCATTTTTTTCCTCTCGATACGATCACGCGCGGTTAGCGTTGAACACGGCGTATAATATAGAGGTCTATGGCGAAGAAAATAATTTAACAACAGCATAATACAGCTACACTGTACATCCGCATATAACGAGAAGCGTTAATGGCATTTGCGGATCGTGACTGTATAAAGCGGTTCGAAAACATTTACAGTTTGAGTTGTTATTTTATGCGTAGCTAAAAATTTTTTTTGCTATTTTAAGTTTTTATAACGTAATAACGCACATATTATGAATTCAAGACGGGCAAGTGAATGAAAATAAAACAACTCAAGTTGGTTAATTAATGTTTTGAACGTTAAGTATTGTCAGTTAATAGTAACAAAATAATATATATTTATAATTTAACTCTATAAAAGTTTAAAGTTAATTCATTAAATTTTAATTACCATCGGGATCACACATTAGTGATTGCGCAACATTCAAATTGTTTAGATAACTATAAACGTTTTATTAAAAATGCATGCAACTATTACTAGTTATTTCACACACTGTTATACATATTGTATAGCTTAGGTAATTATAACTTTGTTCTACTAAATTATTTTATCAAGAAATATGATAAAATAGTATTATTTATTTGTTTACTTTTATTTATAATCATTGTCTACGACGTGATAAAAAAAAATATTTTATTAATTTTTGTTTTAAATTTAATTTCTTATCACATGAGACATAGATTTGGACAACCATCATGGACTTAACACACCATTCCCATACTATTTTAAATTCAGTGAAAACGTCTAAGTTATTAGGTCGATTAAAGAATTACTAAATTATAAGTCAAAGAACATTAACTATTTAAATTAACTTTGACTATAGTTAATCATCACCTTTGGGTCGTAATATATCGTTTTGGCAAAAACAACTTTATCGGAGATCGTCTAGTATAGAGATATAATAATTACTGTGATGTGTTTATTTGGACAACTGCCTCGCAACAGAATTGTTTAAAAAATAAACTCAAAGCAGATTCCACCGGTTTAGTGCTGCAGCAGTTGCTTAAAGTTATACGAAAAACCTAATAGTCATGATTCCAATTAACGCCTACTGCTTTTTTTTTACACGAGCGTTCGATTATTATGATGAAAAAAACTATAACACGGGTGTACGCCTATGTATCCTATATATAGGAAAACATAATATATTATGTGGAAAATGTGCTCGATCACCTCGTGTTTATTTACTTTATTTTTTCATTCTTCCGGTCAGTCGTCAACACGCTCATATACAACAGTGTTATAATGTATTGATTTGCATAGTGTAAGAGACACGCAGTGGTGGTCGAAAAAGAGATCATCGTCGTCGTGAAACTTTCGAGTGCGCGAATAAGACAACGAGACTCGGCCAAAAAAGGTTCGTTCCATTCATTACGCACGCATATTATTATATGTTTTTAACGAGACTGCAGCAGTCGACAACGGAAAATATATTACTTTAATAATATTGTACACGAATATTATGTGAGTATAAAATATTTTAAAAAGTATCCGGCGGCGGCAACGGCGGACAATGGTCTGCGTTTTAACGCCTTTCGGCTATATATCTCATTCGTACGTACGTAAATATGCGTAAGACCTCCCGCGCCACACCACTGTTTATGGCGCTAATGAAAGTCTGTGCTCACACTCACACACACACACACACACACACACACTTTATTATATCGTAGTCGTTTTATATACGCGTACACTTATCAATCGCGTTGAAGTCGTTATGGTCATCTGCGAGGCAGACTATATTATTATTACTCGCGGCGTCGCAATATTATGTATCTGCTGGGAATAAGAGCTGCAGCAGCTCTCGCGCACACTTTCGATGGAATATAATTAAGATCTAATATATACCTCTATACGATATTTTTGCCATAATATAACAATAAAACCGCGGCTATAGTTGAAAAATAAATAAAAAAACGTGCTCGTGTGATTATTAAAACTTCCGAAAAAGCGGCTCCGATACCTACGCGCCTATTACGATCGTAATATTGAAAAAGGAATATTATAGGTAGGTGTGTGTAAATTAATTCATTAAAATATTTAAAAAGTCAATCAAAATTGTAATCAAACTGCAATATAATACGTAGTTGGTATAGTACCAATAACGTCGTTGTATGCAAGCGTTCAACACCCGCGAAATCGAATATTACTCTCTATATAGACCAGTCTCTCGTCGTACAGTTTTCGGCGAAATTTCACGTCCCCGGTGTACCAGCGATTTGTTCCGGACACACACTCGTGAGACTTGACACTCGGTTACCTATTTTATATATACGCGAGTACTATAACTACTAATAACTAGTAATACGTATATATATATATACATGTGATGGTCCTCGCGGAGGCGGTGGCGTTAATACGTTTTTCGTCTGGCAGGCGGGCAGGCGGTC